AATATGAGTTCAATCTATATTTTTATCCTTATTTTAGCTTGTCAATTTTAAAAATAACAAGCAAATACGAAAATGAAAATAAATAAAACTTTTGTGTTTTTACACCGCCTTTGAAAAACTTCATAAATCTAACCAGCTAGAATTAGATGGTTTTTATGACCAAAGTTAGTGCCAATTATGGTAAAATCAATATATGTTACAGATAGTTTTTTATATGAGCTTTTCCCACCCTTATATATATCTTGTTTTTGTCAACAACTAATACTAACTTGATACAAATAAATAATAATGATCATTAAATGAAAGGTTGTTGAAAGGTATGATAATGGCAAGGCAAAGTTGGCAGCTTGTGCATTAAATTTCAAAACAACGTCTGAAAGGGACATATACTCGTTCCCCCCGCTAATTAAAGACAAGTAAGAAAAAACGTGAATAATACTATTTAGCTACTGAACCTGCCTGCATTTGAACAACTCCACTGAATAGCTGCCTAATAAGTTACAGTAGCAAAAAGTGGGTAGTGGCACATGTCACAGTTATATAGTTTTGACACATACATGTGGCCCACTATTTGCTAGTCATCCATCCATGTGACTGGATTTCGGCACTTGTCATTCCAATTGAAGTTTGCGTTGTACATTCTAGAAAGTTTAATTTTTTACCAGTACATTATTAAATTTGATGTCCATAAATACTTTCACTGGATTCACCCAGTGATGAATCCGAAAATTTTGTGGAAGGGATTGACTTTTTAACTCGTGGGTATAAAATTATATGATAGGTTTATTTTTATAATTTTAATAAGGTTTTATTCATAAATTTTAAAAAATTTAAAGTGTAAAATGAAAAAAAAAATCAGTGGGATAATTATAATTCTAGTGGAGGTATCTTCATAAATTATCCAAATTTGAAGTATAAAATGCTAAAAAAAAAGAATTCAGTGGGACAAATTGTAATTTTAGGAGGGTATTTTCATAAATTTTTAAAAAATTAGAGTGTAAAATAAAAATATTAAAAATTTAGGGGGCATCCCCCCGCGGGTCCCATGCTGGGTCCGTCGGTGGATCCACCAGAAAAAGATTGAGAATAGGGTGATAGAGGCAACAGAGTGAGCACAAACAACGATAAGAGTCAGGATTTAGAGTAGGGAAGATGAGTGAATAGACTAACAACTTATTGGGTCCAACTTAATTGAAACAGACTTTTAAGCCCCCCGCATTTCACTCTAATATATGTTTCGCTGCATTACAACCCACTTTGTACATTCAGGATTGTTTAGGTGAGGTGAAATAAATTGGAATGGAGGTGAAAATGCACGTGAGAATAGAATAAAAATGGTCATTTTTTTTGTTTGAGGGTGAAATAATTTTAATAAAATGATCATTCTCTAAGAATAATGCAGAATGATTATTCTCTAAGAATAGTGAGTATTGATCATTCTAACTTTAAAATTGACACCAAACACAGAATGGAAAAAAAAAAACTATATCATTCCATTTTCTTTTATTTCATTTTATCACACCAAACTAGCCTTTAGCGGAATAGATTTCGACATGGACCACATGGTGTTCAATTTTTATGCAAATTGATATATGTTCGTTATCTTTTGCAGGCCACCAATATAAAGTTGAATTATTATTATTATTATTATTTTGGATAAATAACTTTGTTAATAAATTCGATTAATTTCATTGACACCCTATCAAGTTTGACTAAATATCATATTGAGATATCTTTTGAAAATTACTATCACCCACGTTACAAATATTTAATCCGTTTTTCACTTATATTCCAAAATTTACTTTTGAGTTGTGTCAGATCAATTTTTACTTGTAAAAAGATATTATTATCTTCTTTGACTTTGACTTATATCACTAAAGAGTTGTTTGATGTTTAAGAAGACATTTCTATCCCCGATCTTTCTCCTTTTCTCACTGCCTTTGTTATTACATCAGATAATGGCAAAATCAATTGACTAACAGTTTGAAATTTGAGAATAGGATGTGAAACTGGGGTACTTGCTAACTAATTGGTAGTTAAGAGCATAGAAGAAACAGTCACAAGTCGACAACAAATTACATTAAAAAAAACGTTGATTACGTGAAGAAGAAAAAAATAAATAAACTGATAAATAAACTACAGAGAATTATTTACTTGAAAAGCAAATTAACTGAAATCTTCATAGATTTATAATCAACTTCATGCACCTGTAATAAAAAGGAAATAAATTAGATTTTCTAAACTTCCAACTTTATATTAAATAAAGTGATCGATTTAATGTGACTCCAGCATGTTCTCGGCTGTATAATTGTCAAAATAATAAATTTAGGATTAAGTAAAACAAAATTGTCATAATATAATTGCCCAGATATTCAAATAAATGCAAGTAACTCATATTTAGCCACCAGTTTCGTCATATTTGTTTTAATACATGTGGATTCAGCAATCCTCAATTACTAGGACATCCCATGAATATTCAATTGATTGATTGAGTTTGAGCACAAACACAAACTAATGCATTGATTTATATTGCTTTTGGCAACACATGAGAGAATATTTTTAAATTGATGGTATTTTGGATTAAAATTCATTTAAAAAATGAGGGTATATATAATATTTTGGGTTAATTTCACCTAAACCCCCTGAGGTTGGCGCATATTTCACCTAGATAAAGATTTGATTTTTAGCGACCACTTGGACCACAATTAGTGGTTTAACATTTCACTTACACCCCAAATGTCAATTTTTGGTATTAAATGATTATGTTATACTTTGACCTCATATTGACTATTTTTTGTGACTAAACTGCCCCCAACGCACATTTCCATCTCTTCCTCCTCACAGCCAATCTTCCCAATTAACCCTAAGTTCTAACCACCTCCTCCTTTATCTGACTTCGCTTCCGAGTCATTACTAGGAAACCCATTAATACAAGGACATGAACACAATAATCCTTTCTTATTTCCACCCAGTTTTCCTCTCCTAGTGCAGCTACAACCGTGTGAATCTTTTCTCCTCCAATACAATTAAACAACCACTAGACCTATAAATGCGACTCCAATTGCATAGGCCACAGAGATCAATATGATCAACCCCCGCTTCAGCCCTTCTCTAAACGGTGAATAGGATGGACTCGGGCTCGCCGCCGCCATCATCCGAAGCCACCAGCTCGCCATCATCTGGACGGTCCCTAAGCTTGGGTTTTCTACAACGCAAGAACTTCTCGACGAAGATAATCGAGAGCATATCACCGGAGGACCTCCAACCGATGGTCAAGATCTGCATTGACAGTCAACAATCGCCGTCGATCGCGGTAAAGAGGACCTCCAACACGTCGTGACTGCTCTCCTCAAGAAGATGTCGATCGACGCGTGTGGCGTAATTCCGGCGACGGAGTGCTGAGCTTGTCTTTGCCATGGTTTGAGTCCGATTCCGGTTCGGATTCGTCTCTGGCGGGGTTTGTTGGGTCTAGCGAGTCTCGGTGGCAGCCATCCTTGCTGAGTTTGGGTTTGATTTGCAGGGCTGTGGATTGTTGAATTTTTTTTTTTTTTTTGCTTGTGGATTGTTGATTACATGGTCTGATTTTGTGACTGGGGCATTAATTGTGGGGTTGTGATTGGGGGTAAGATTTGGTTTGTTTGATTGATTACAGAGGTGGTGGTTTGTGGGTGTTTATGCACTTTTTGAGGTGGTGTGTTGGTGGTTGAAGGGGGTGGGTCTGCAAACGCAGACAAGAGAGATGAAAGAGGGGCATTTATGCCATTTAAAATTAAAAATATTTTGTAGTATTAAAATTTTGAGGGTAAAAAGGTCAATTCGCATGTGTTTGAGGCCAAAAATCAAATTGGGGTCTAAGTGGTCGCTAAAAATCAAATTTTCATTTAGGTGAAATATGCGCTAACCTCAGGAGGTCTAGGTGAAATTAACCCTAATATTTTTTATCTTTTAACGGTGTCGGTGATGAAAAAGTAAAATTGAACCTAAATGATACTAATTTTCAAAAAGTGTTTCAATGTGATATTTGACCAAACTTAAAGGAGAGTTAGTGAAATTTAACCGTAATAAATTTCTTTTTTCTTTTTCTTCATTCTTCCTGCCGGCACTTATAAAGGTTATACAATCTGATTTTAAAAAATGGATGTATTGGAAGAGGTATTTACTTAATTTTTGACATTACTATCACAATAATTTAAGTGACTAACTTGATATTAACCAAACAATTCGTGACCGCGTGTTAGAACGCATATATATCATGTTCAAGCATAAACCCCATCACATTGCCATACTACTTCATTGTGACCTTTGGATAGTGGTGACCGTGACCCTCTATCTAAGGGGTCCTCAACCTTTGAAGTATTCCTCATTGATGGTGGCTTGAATATATATAGTAATAGCATGCACGAACATGGTTAAGGTTGAATTTCAAAGTCTTAGTACACTGGACATGATCGATGATCGATCAGAGGTTAGCACTATATATATATATATATATATATATAAATAGTCATCAAGGTATTTCATCCTCAATTATTGAACCAATTTTTTAATTAGGTACATTCTAACATGCGGCATTTAAGCAATTGAATTTATCAATGCTCCTCGAGCCTTGGCTATTTGCACTCCCGACACATTAAAGATTTTCTTAAATACTTTGGTCGGTAAAAGAGAACAAGAAGGGTGGATATTTTGATTTTCACTTGAAGGTTTTGTAAGAATTGGTGACAGATAGATCCAGAATTAGCCTAGATATGACAGTCTTGAAGTGGGACCAAATAAAGGTTTGGTCATTAATATACATGTAAAATATAGTTGGCTAGCTCTAAAAGCATTTAAACATGTAGTGAGACGTGTCATTCGTGTATTACACTTGGTCCTTGAATGGAAATACGGAACTCCCAATCAAATCATAGAATTAATTAAAAGCCCAGCGAACCAACTGCTCTCACACACTATCTGCAGTTCACACTTCACATATTTTGCCTATATAAACACCACCCCTCCTATGCTTTTTACACTCAATTCATCAGCATTCAAATCAATACACTACAATTCTCTCTGGTGTACTTGCAAATTAAGAGTTAGTAGCTAACTAGTTAAGATGGCAATGCTAAAGGTTGCATGTGTGGTCCTTGTGTGCATGGTGGTGGTAGCACTTGCACCACCGCTTGCGGAAGCAGCTGTGACATGCGGTACGGTGCAGAGCGCAGTGGCCCCGTGCATCGGCTACCTGAGGAACGGTGGTGTCGTTCCGGCGAATTGCTGCAACGGTATCAGATCCCTCAACAACGCGGCTAAGACCACACCTGATCGCCAGACCGCTTGCAGGTGCTTGCAGTCTGCTTCTGGTAAAATTACAGGCCTCAAACCTGCTTTAGCTTCTGGCCTCCCCGGAAAATGTGGTGTCAGCGTTCCTTACAAGATCAGTCCCTCCACTGACTGCTCCAAGTACACCTCTACACTCCATACTCTCTTCTTTCTTTCTTAGTAGATTCATAATAAATAATGATTCTCACTGTTTGTTTTGATGTGAGTGGAAAATGACCGTCAAAACCTCACATCAAAACAGTTAGAATCGACTGTAATTAGACACTAAATAATTTTGTACAACTTATAAGATTTCAAAGTCCACTAAATTGGTTTGGTTTTGTGTTGGTTGATATTGCAGGGTCAAGTGAGCTTGACGAGAGGATAAATTTAAAGCTGAGGACGATATAGTAGCATGAGAATAAGATCAGTGTTGATTCCAGCAGGGGTCCCACTTGAGAGTTGAGAGTCTTTGTTAATTACCAGCTTCTTCCGTGTCTGTCTTATAGACATAATATATATATTTTTATAAATGTATCATTAAGCTAGTTGTTGCATGTAATAAAAGAAATATCTATGCTATTCCAGTATTACCATTAGATTGCATATATATGTGTGTGTGTTCCTCTCTCTCTCTCTCTCTATACGCACAAACACCTTTAAAATTCCGTCAACTAATTTTCATAATATATAAATTAAACAAAAAATTAGTCTGTAAATCAAGAGATCAATGATGGATGATTAAGTCCCAAACAACATTGGTGACCTTGCTGGCTAGAGGAACTACTAAATAATGAATATGGATGGATATAAATGGTTCGAAGACAATGAATATTTACAATTATGAGAAGATTGACGCGGAGGGAAGGGAGTGAAAAAATTATGGTAGAGTAACTGTTGATTAATAATTGTGTTGTCCATTTCTATATCGACAGGTAATCAATTTGCAGCCACTGGTTGTACGAACTGTCATAACTACGCACCGAAAAGTTGGTATCTAGCAGTTAATTACGAGGTACAACACTTGGGCAATACCAAACTAAGAAGACTAATTAATTGATTTTTTTTTTTATATAGTAATTACGTAGTACTAATTAAACAGATTTTAGAGTTCCCAAAAATATGAAAAACCACAAACTATCTATCACATAAAGACACAACACAAGTGCAAAGATATTTATGTGATAAATAAATTTCGGGAGATATTTGAACATTCCGTTAAATTAGCATTGCTCCACTAACATTTTACATATTTTTCAATGTCCAAACACACCCACTGCAGCTCTCTTTTTTTTTCAAGGAAATAATAATAATAATAATAATAATTTAATAGGGCTGTTACCATATTCATCTGTTTTTCAAGGAAATGATGTGAAGTTGATTTATGTAGTAATTTTTATCATCTAGCGTGGACATTTATTTGCAATTCTGCAGTTCCATAACATCCATGCAGGCTGTGCAAAATCGTGATGACGATTTCCATTATAGATTTCTATATATACTCTCCCTCATAATACTATATAATATATAATATACTTTCTCCACATCTTCAAAAAAAAAAAAATACCGTTCGATCCTGGAGTCAGGCAACTTTTTTATCTTTAATTTTTACTTAAAATAAAATAAACGTTACACAACTTTAGAAATATTGATTATCTTTTCTGAAATCACAAATAATGTGGAGAGATGTTGCATATTAAAATTCATAGTGTTTAGAATTTTTTTTTTTCCTGAACGGTAATGCGTTAAGATTTGTATAAAACAAATCTCCCAATATTTATTATTTGGATTTCAGGAAGATTAAATTTTCTTGAGATTGATTGATGTTGTTGATTATCTAGTTTGTGGGATCTCTTCTATCTTCTAATATAAATTGTAAGGGCTTAATTTTATGTAAAAGACAAATAAATGTGTGAATTTTTTTTTATCAAAAGGGAGAGACAAAAAAAATAAAATAAAAAGAAAGGGGTTGAAGAATTCGTTGATTCGTTGATGAAATGATTTATGATTTCATCTTAGCCAAATGGCCGAACCCACACACACAAAATTTAAGACAGACAACACATCTCAACTAACAAATATTTTGTTGATGGAGACATTGGATTTAAAATGTTGCTAAAATTGCGAAAATAGTAAGGACAGTATTGGAAGAAGGTAGAAGTGGTAAACAATTTTAATCAGATAAAGATGGACAGCATTTTTCATCTCATTGTTTATATTTAATTTCCTTCAACAATAAATCATGAAAACAAGTTTCTGAAAATGCATGGGAGGAATGATTTCACATGAAATGGCTAGCTGCTCGTGCTCATCATAATTTCCCAAATTATGTAGGTGGATTCGGTGATCAAGTTTTATTGGTGGTGGGGCTCTTAATCAATGAGCTTAATTGAGGGTTAGATTACCGGAATTGTCCTTGAAGTTAACAATTGCTAATACATGGTTCTCATTTTTGTAATACTCCTCTGTTCAAATATATATATATATATATATATATTGAATAGTCAATGTATTACTATTATTATCCATTTAACTTTCTTTTATTAAACCTATAAGGGTCAAGTGCAAAAAATTCTCTTGAATTATGTTTGAATTTGTAAATAATCCCCTTGAACTATAATTTGAGCATAAAACCCCCTAAATTATCTCATTTTGTTGCAACATATATCAAGAACTATACTATATTTCATTAAATGACCATAATACCCCTTCTTATTGAATTAAATTTAATATATTTTTCTTATCTAAATAAATTATGAAAAAATTCATACTAATTTGATGAGATAATTTTCATTAAATTTGCATAAATTTACCTTTAATTTTTTTAATGAATTATTTAAATAAAAAATTTTAGTACAATTTTTTTTAAAAAAGTTAATTAATTTTTTTATTTTTAATGAATATATTACATGAAAAGAAGGTATTTTTTTCAAAAGTATTTTATTAATTTTTCATCTACATATTGTATGAAAAATATGATATTTTTTTTACAATAAAAATGTTTAAATTGGTTATAATACGTTTTATTATAAATAATAAAGTTTTAATAATAAGTTAATCAATTTAGAAAATGGTAGTTACAATTCTATTTATCTATTTTTTTTTTCATTTTTATGATATATTGATACTAAAAATAAAATTAAGGTAAATAGTATAATTAATATTTATATAAGAGAAAGATAATAAAAATAATTTAATAAGAAATGAAAATTTTAATGAGAAAGGGTAAAATAGTCTTTTGTGATAAATTTGTCCTTAATTGTAACAAATTAATAGTTCAGAGGGCAGTTTTTAGTTCTGGGGAGTTATTTGCAAAAGAACAATAGTTTTAGAGAGGTTTTTTGCACTTAACCCTAAATAAAAAGTAAATCAGCATTACTGTAGATCCATTAGAGATAAAATTAATAATTCATTCACCACTAATACAATTATAAAACAAAACAAAAAAATATATATTTAAAAAAAAAATTAAAAAAGTTAAATTCCAAAAATGAAATTTTTTTATTGAGACAGGAATATATCATTTATCACTAGGTCGTTCTGAATTATGGAGATGAAACGGTCGAGTAAATCCTTTAAAATTTTGAAGGATAGCTCTAAAAATTCATTTTTTTATTACTATCAATTGCAATAAAGGGGGAATAGCATACTTTCGGATTATAAGGATATACGGAGCTGCTGTTGAGCCTTTTGAAACTTCTCCCGTGTTTTTCTTACCCAGAAAAGGAAGAGTTGAATTGACCTATTATATTTATATATACTCCCATGTATCCTAGCGAACCAGAAGCTTACAATAAAGAAACGAAACCACTTCAAATCTGCAAAGTTTAGATATTACGAATTATGTTATTTTATGTTATCTATTAGTTACTATTATTATTAATAAAATATTACTGTAACTACAACTATTTATAAAGAAATGTTACCCCCAAAAAAAAAAAAAAAAAAAACCTATTTGTAATGAAATCCTGAAGACAAATACTTCCACAATTTTTGTAATATCATCGGTCAAATTAATAAAGTGGGTCTCTCGCACTTAGCTCTTATCTCACCCGTTAAATGAAATAATTGGTCCTACGTAAAACTCCACTGTGAAACTCGATTCTGGTCCTACGTAATGTAAAATACATTTATTTTAAAATTCAACAGATTTTTAAGGCACAATTGTGTTGAAAACATAGTCACTTCGTTTTTCAATACATTAGTTTGTGTGGTTAAAACTTTCGGCCGCAGACTGCAATGGAGACTCCCAACAACAGAGGATCCAAAAGCCTTTTTGGGTAACTTAATTTATAGTGAGACGTACGTCCTGAACTCATTAAAACTTTTCAGAGTAGAATCATATCAATGGATTAAAACATTGAATTGAGCCCAACCACTAGCCTCACAACCAACAAGCCCCATTTATGCTCACTTCTCTATATAAACACCACCCCTGAGAACCTTTTTAATTACAAAAGATCACACAAAAAACATATAGCAAGTGCCCAGATCACTTCTCTCTTCTCTTGTTTGCTTTCTAAAAAGTCTTGTTTTCGAGTTTTCTGAAAGTACATAGTAACTCACTAGTACTACAATGGCTAGCTCAGCAATAATGCTTAAGGTGGCTTGTGTGGTAGTACTCATGTGCATGGTGGTGACTGCACCACAAGCGGAGGCGGCCGTAACATGTGGTATGGTGGTAACGAGCTTGACCCCTTGCCTCGGCTACCTGAGGAGCGGTGGTCCAGTGCCAGCCCCGTGCTGCAGCGGGATTAAGTCGCTCTACAGTGCCGCTAGCACCCCAACTGACCGCCAGACTGCTTGCAGATGCATGAAATCAGCTGCTACCAGTGTCCCCGGTATCAGCATGGCCAATGCTTCTGGCCTCCCTGGAAAATGTGGTGTCAACATTCCCTACAAGTTCAGCCCCAGCACTGACTGCGCCAAGTAAATCTCTTTATACATATACACACATATTGGGATCTGCTGCTTTACAGCACAGTCACATTTTTATGCTGTGAACCATCCAATGTAATACAACACCTGTATTGTGCTGTAGCATGTTCATAAATATGTATATGGTAGTGTTTATATGAAAATGGAAATAAACTCAAAGCTGCCAGAAATCTATAGCAAAAAATTTATAGTACAGTTACTAACGTAGTAATGGACATGCTAAGTTAATGCAGTACTGTTACTCTTTAGTATGTGGCTAGCTAGTGCATGTGTTAACAGTCAATATATATATATATATATATATATATATGAAGTATAAATTGCAGATTATATGTTTGATTAATTTGCTTTGTTATTGTGTTGCAGGGTGCACTGAGGTTGATGCACAAGTGAGTCACTGCCACCAGATTCCAGTACGTATATAGTGTGTGAATAAGGGATGGGCACCCGAGTCCTCGTAGGTTTCCAGTTGAGCGACCCACCAGTTTCCAATAGCAGTGTGTCATGTAGTTGGTGTTTGTATGCAGTGACCTTTGTATCTTTTTATATCTAATGAATCTATCCCAGTCTTTGTTTGTTTGTTTCTCTCTCTCTCTCTCAAGCTAACTATTATTGTTACAAAACAAAAAAAAAAAAATTACATACACACCACACACATATATGGAGCGTGTACTTAGAAAATAGTTTAAAATTTAATTCCATTCAAAAGCTTCAGGAAACTAAAGTCTTAAGGGATTATTACGTATAAAATGATGCTAATGACTTATATTTATTATTTTATAGAGTTAAAGTCTTATAGTTTCGAAAAAATAAAGATATGAAAAAATACAGTTTACTCTCACTGAAGTACCACTTTTATGCACATATGTACCACTTTTAATTTGTGCATGCATATACCACTTTTCGTCATTAGATACCACTTTTTGTGTTGAACAAAAAAGTGGTACCTAATGCACAAAAACTGATACTTATGTAAATAAAAGTGGTACTTCTATGCACAAAACAAAAGTGGTATTTAATGCACAAAAAGTGATTTCTCCGTGCCTATGTGCCTAAAAGACACAGTTTACTCTCATTGAAGTACCACTTTTATGCACATATGTACCACTTTTAATTTGTGCATGCATATACAACTTTTCGTCATTAGATACCACTTTTTGTGTTGAACAAAAAAGTGGTACCTAATGCACAAAAACTGATACTTATGTAAATAAAAGTGGTATCTCTATGCACAAAACAAAAGTGGTACCTAATGCACAAAAAGTGATTTTTCCGTGCCTATGTGCCTAAAAGTGGTACCTCAATGAAGGTAAATAGTGTTTATTCGGATCCACGTCAGCATTTTGGTCAATTTCATTTTTTAAAAATTATAAGACTTTAATTCTATTAAATAATAAATATGAGTCATTAACACCATTTATATATAATAATTCCAAAATCTTACACCATCTAAAATTTTTTTTTTTTTTTGACGTGGGTGTGTGTGTTTTACAAAGCACATCTAAGAAAAAGAGACATCTTAATTAGTTCTCTCCCTCGTACTTTTTATATTTATACTTTCTCCACATCTTCAAGCAATGGGATGTCTGGCTCACTGCTTTTGCAACCCATAGAGCCTAATCTTTTGTTTTTTAGCTTCTTTTTTCTGTTATTGTTAGGTTAAAAATAAAAATAAAAACAAAGAATTCATTGATTTGTTGATGGACATGGATGGAAATATGGGATTTAAAATATCGGAAAAAAATAAAGATGGAACATAGATGGAGAGTGAGAGAAAGTTAAAACTAAGGGATTATTATAAATACATGGTATTATGGACCCATATTTATCATTTGTAGGAGTAAAGTCACGATCTTTCAAAAAAGATAAAATTGACTAAAATGTTGATATGAGTACGAAAAAATATTGTTTGATTTTTCAAATTACTCTTACTATTTTCATATATCATTTTTGTAAATAAAGGTGTCACTTTTATGGATGCAAGTATCATTTTTTGTGCAGATCATGTCATGTATTACTTTTTGTGCATGCAAATATGATTTGCACAAAAATTATACTTTTTTTTTAGGTAAAAGGGTAAGCTTTGATAAATAAAAGGAGAATGTACAATAGGTCTATTAAGGACATTACAAGCCAAGGGCTATGACAAAAAGTGTTGCCACAGGATCACCAAAGAAGATAGCAAAACATGATACAGCACCTATACATTTTCTAATACACCACAACTGCTTTTCAAGAATGTAAATTGTTCCACTTGGCAATTTCAAATCTGTTTTCAATATCTCCTATTCTCAACAATCATATATTAGCTTGCCCTCAAGGAGAGATTAGCAACATTGGATACTAAACCAATGCAGAAGAAACACTATACCAATGCATGTTACCTTTGCCTATCAGCTGAAGAATCTGTGGACCACTTATTTTTCAAATGTCCATACAGCAACCTCATTTGGAATTTCATTCAGCATGCTGCAGGCTTCTACATCAATTCTAACAAAAATTATACTTACCTACATAAAAGTGATACTAATATGCATAAAAGTGATCCCCAAAAATAGTATGAAATGTTAAATTGGACAATAATTAGTGTTTTTTTATGTCCACGTTACCATTTTCATTAACTTCGTTTTTACAAAAGATTATAACTTTGACTCAATTAAATAGTAAATATGAGTCCTTAAGTTCATATATATATATATATATATATGTAATAATCCAAAAAAATGAATCAAATTATTCGGTAACCTCTAAATAATGGAAAAAGGATTTCTAAAGGTAGTTTACATGTCATTGTTTGTAATTAATTTTCTTCAACAATAAAGGGCAGGTGTTCAATATATAATGAAAACAAGATTCTGAAAATGCACGTGGGGGTGTTAAAGACAATTTCACATGAAATGGCTAGCTCGTGCTCATAAATCATAATAATCAATCAAATTATATAGGTGGATTCGGTGATCAAGTTTTATTGGTGGGGTCTTAATCAATGAGCTTAATTGAAGGCTACAGAGTACGTAGTGAAAATTCAGAAAAAAACGAAGTAAAACAAAATCCTTGGAAGTTAACCATTGTTAAGATATGGTTCTTTTTTTTCTTTTTTCTTTTTTTAATATTTCTTATACTACTAAATGAGTTCCAAATTATGGAAATCTATGGTCATTTCGAGCAAATCCTTATAAATTTTAAAGGACATGCGCCAGTACTACCTATCTATGCAAGTTTCATCTTTCTACATGTTTTATTTGCTTCTAAGAATTCATAATTTTTTTTTTCAATGACAATATGGTGGAAATAGCATATTTTCATGTTACAAGAATATATAGAGCTGCTATAGCAGAAGGAAGAGCTGAATTGACACATACAGACTCACATGTATCCTAAGTTCCTAACAAACCCAAAAATAAACTCTATTGTATTATTGATTAATAATGAGAATAATAATAAAAAGATTTGCAAGTACAAATACTTTTAATTGAAGAAAATATATGAAACAGAGCCCATCAAGCAATAATCTACAAAAATCACAAAAAACATATGACAAGATCCTAATAATTAAATTAAGATATTTACCAAAAATTAGCTCAATATATCCAAGTCCATTTTGACCGCAAACAAAAATTCAGGGGAAAATAGGTTGCTCTTAAAAAAAAAAAAAAAAAAAAAAAAAAGTAACAAGCAAAAAAGACTGTTTTTTTTTTTTCGATAAATAAGAAAAAAGACATTGAACAATGGAGTTTGACTTAGGAAATGACTTATATGATAAGCAAAGCTAATGAATATTGATTATTGGGTGTTTTAAATTGGTCGAATTATTGCACCAAAAAGTATGTCAGCTCCAAGGCCTAGACATTGAGCAATTTGGTAAAGGTGGATCTTTAAATAAGAAAAGATAAATGCTTCCACAATTTGGTAATTTCATCAATCAAATTAATGAAGTGGGGTTCTCACTTATCGTACTACCCTTTTTAGAAGGAAGATCTACCTCAAGTGATGCTAAACTCATTTCATCTATTATGAAATGAAGTTGGTGCTACTTGAATTACATTGTGAATGGCCGTGAAACACATCTTTTACTCTTTCTGTTTTATTTTAATTGTCACATTTGGAAACGGTGACTCACAAACATGTAACTCACAAACATACGAGTCATAATTTTCGAAAGTGACAATTAAAGTGAAAGTGACAATTAAAGTGGGAGAAGTAATATCTCATTAACAAGAAAAAAAAAAAATGGTAACTTTATTTCAAGTGAGAGGTACGTCTTGATTTCAATTAGACGTTTTCAGGGATTAAAGCATTGAATTGAGCCCAACCACCCACCTCACAACAGGTAGTCTCATATCCACACATTCATGACCACTTCTCTATATAAACACCACCACATGACAACCTTTCTACACACGACAGCACAAGCAACACATATAGTAGTAATTTCGGAGACTTCTTTCATCTCTTGTTTGCTTTTTAAACAGTCTAGTTTTCGAGTTTTCTGAAAGCAGTGACCACTACTACTACTACTACAATGGCAAGCTCAGCAATGCTTAAGGTGGCTTGCGTTGTACTCGTGTGCATTGTGGTGACTGCACCTCAGGCCGAGGCGGCCATGACATGTGGTACGGTGGTAACAAGCTTGACTCCGTGCCTCGGCTACCTGAGGAGCGGTGGTGCCGTCCCAGCCCCATGCTGCAGCGGGGTTAAATCCCTCTACAGCGCTGCTAGCACCACGACCGACCGCCAGACCGCTTGCAGATGCATGAAATCAGCTGCTACCGGTATCGCCGGCATCAACATGGCTAATGCTTCTGGCCTCCCTGCAAAATGTGGTGTCAACATTCCCTACAAGATCAGCCCCTCCACCGACTGCTCCAAGTATATATTATTATTTCTATACACAATTATATAAATATTAAAGTTATATTTTTTAACTCACAAGTACTTTAATAATTAACATTAAAACAGGTGATTAAAGTTACAGTACCCTTACAATGACTAACTGTGTAGTGGAAGTACTATGTTAATGCCGCGTTATTGTTTAGTAGAATGTGGCTAGCTAGATAGTGTGTCAACCGTCTCTCTCTCTCTCTCTCTCTCTCTATATATATATATATATTTTTTTTTGAAGTATTAATTAATTGCTGATTAGTTGCATCTGTTTTGGTTTGGTTTTGTTATTGTGTTGCAGGGTGCAGTGAGGTTGATGCACGAGCGAGCCACTGCCACTGGATCCAAGTACGTACTGTATGAATAAAGACGGGCATCTGAGTCCTTCTGGGGGTCCACTAGAGCGACCCTCCCTCCAGTTTCTAATAGGAGAGTGTGTCAATGTAGTTTGGTCGTTGTATGCAGTGTGACCGGTGTATTGATTATATTTATGTCTAATGAATCTAGCTATCCCACTTTATACTTACTCGCTGTCTCTTTCTCTCTCAAACTAATTAAGGATAAATTATAATACAAAACTTACAAATTTAATTCTATTCAAAAATTCGAGTGAATTAAAATGTGTTGCCAAACACATTTAAAATACCTATGACACGAAAAGAAATGACAACATTAATTAGGAAAGAAAAAAACTTTAAAAAGTAGACGACAATATTAACTAATTATCGTGTTTAATACATTATTGATTATAGAAGGAAAGTAACAAAAATTATAATAATCATGTTTGAGAGAAAAAAATGAAATAAAACTATTTAATTAAATGAATTTACAATCATATATATATATTGTAAGTAGATATTGTCTTTTATAAATAAAGGTAAATTTAATATTTACAAAGTTTCATTAAAATATACAAGTCTTTTCTTCTATTTTTTCTCATTTTGGGTAAATAACAAAATATACATACTATTCATAACTTATTGTATCCCTCTAATTTTTTTTTATAATTTTTTTTTCTTTCTTTTCTTTCCAATATTTCATTCCCCCCACACACATTCTTGTCTCCCTTCATTACCATTCTTTTCTTTTATTTTCTTTTCGTTACACCAAAATTAGCCTAAGTTGTTCAACAACAACAAACCAATTGCCGTTTAGCGGTGTCGCGCTCTTACTTTTCAAAGAAAGGTAAGGAGTTCGAATTTCAGTAGAAGTATGTGTGTGTAAATACCAATTTAAAAAAAAAAAAATAGATTGTTCAACAACAATTTTAAAGAGACTAAGTAAAAAGATAATTGAAAAACTCTAAGATAACTTTGAAAGAAAAGATTATTGGGCGCACACACACGTGTACCGTAAATAAAAATCCTAAGCCCCTCACAACATGAGAGAATAGTCCCTTATTACAAAACTTAAACATCCCTAATTAATAGATAAAGCACTTTAGAAGGCAAGTAATTTTAATGCTAAATACTTTAAACTTTCTTTCTTTGCTTAATACAAAATCAATTGGTTTACTTGATCACACATTTGTTTATTATAGTATGTATCTTTATGGTGTGAAAACAATAAGTGAACTCCTAGTTCTGCTCATTTGTAGGGTCGGCAAAAGTTACATAATGTCCGTTGTAAATTTTTCGGAGAACTCCGAGTACAATCTTAGATTTGATGTTTGATGGAGATGGACCAACCAGAACATGAGAACCACATAAATGTATTCAATGGACATTATATGTACTACCAACAAGAGAACCACGTGGATACTTTTTGATGATGTTTGGAGGAATCACAGCCGTAGGATGCCTGTAGGAGACCGTACAAATTACAATAATAGCTCTCTATTGTACAGAAAAATGGGACCCTGTCCATTATTTAGGCAGGTGTTAATCAATAAATAAATCAACTACTGCTTCTGTGAAAGCTATCTGCCTTTTCAATTTTTACCGACTGGTAAGTTCCAGCGGCGTGATTGCAACTATTGGACTCACTTTGTGGGAGAAATTATTGGAGGGCTTGAGACCCTGTGATGATCGCGTCAATTACAAATTCTTGCATAATTAAAAAGTTAGATAAAATTAACATATTGAATTGTGTGAATTTGTCCGATCAATAACATAATTTGGATCATTTAATAATTTTTTACTTTGTGAACATTTTCTAATCACAGCATGAAAATAAAGGGGGGAGGATTGGGATAGTGCAGTTTAATAATATCTGGTCCCAAGAATTTATCAAGTTCATGTTTTGGTAATTCAATAAAGCTGATTAATTGGACTTGTGAACCTGTTAGGTGGAGCTTCTCCGATTGATGAAAAATGGAGTAGGAATTAACTTTTGATGGGCCTCTCTCCAAATTTAATTGAATATAGATATTATCACTGGCGGATCCGTGGGCTTGGGTGGGCTAAATCCAATTCAAGCCCACCCAAAAAAAAAAAAAAAAATTTACTATACCTTATTTTACCCCAACCCAAAAAAAAATAATAATAAAATAAAATAAAATTATTACTATTAGTCCACCCAAACAAATATTAACCCACTTTATTGACAATTCCTGAATTCCGCCTTAAATATTATAGATATATATATATATATATATATATATATATATATATATATTACAATATTAACACACTTAATTGGCTTAGTCCATGTTTAGTAATGTATTGCAAGATTATCACTCATTGTGTAAATTGATTTATGCTATTTATCAGATTTTAAATATTTGATATCCATTTCGATCTAGAATCCAATTTCTTGTTCTCAATAAATCTCCACCATCCTTTTTTTTCACTAGTGGTAACAATTTGTGCAATATATATACTCTTTAATTTTGTGACTTTAATGCACGTAAACTAATGAGTATCACGCGAACATCAGTACACTACCATAGATTTTGGGATGCATTTAGAGATCGGAACCATGTGTATCTCGCAGACAATATTTTGGCGGTAATCCGAATCATATTTGTAGACAAATTGATCCGAAAAGGCCTTGTGGGGCAAAGCATCCGACAATAAATCACTCTAAAGGAGATGCTTAAGACCCTGAAGATCGAGATAAAGAAGCCATTGCAATTAAACGAAAGAAATTACTTGTAAATGACATTCATGAAAAGTACATGCTAAGATTACTCATGAAATAAAGAGTTGTGAAGTAATTTGCCCATGTTCATAATTAATGCACCTAACTCACTCACCTAATTGAGTTGGCACCAGTGAATGGCTATCGTCTATCCTGCGCGTACACTCATTTTATTTGCTGCCGTGTTGATCAACGCTAGCCTATTTTTTTCGAATATATATATATATATATATGCATTGGATGCTATCAGCAAACTTTATATTAGAAAGGCCATTACAAGTCACGTTAGAAAATTGAAAGGAATGAAAAACAAACGAAGGAAAACATGATCCAAGAAATTGAAAAATTGGTCGTGCGCTAATTAACACATCTTTTGTTTAATTTTAAGCAAATTAAAATAAATTCAGTCATGTACAACTTCACAAGAATGCCATTAATTACTCTCAATTAGTAATTTAGTGGGATGACTATTTTTGTTTCAAGCATTAATATCAATATACGTATTGACTAACTTAAAATAATGCACAACTGACTAACTACTGTACTACTTACCAACTGTGGCAGATTAGGAGATTCAAACGATGGGCTGTTAGTTTGTAATTAAAGATTGGTAATTTAATTTACTTTCAGATTTATAATTTTATAATAATTGAAAGAGTAAAATAGCAACTTTCAAAACAAGAATATATATATATATATATATATATATATATAGAATCAATCAATTAATTTGTAATGAGAAGTGGTATAGAATCTAGAGCCTTTTCAGTTAGGAATCATGAAAGCATTGAATGGAGCCTAAACTTGTGGCCAAACAATTCAAATGCCCACTATTCCCTTCTGTCCACACTCACCAGTACTTCTCTATATATACAAACACCACACCTGAGAAACTTTTTACACACAGACACATACATATATACCCAATGCCAAGATTAATTCTGAGATTGGTTAGGTTCTCTCTTCTTTGCTTTTATACAGTACTCCTGTTTTCGGGTTTTGGTACTACGTGAATGGCTAGTTCAGGGAGGATGCTTAAGGTGGCTGTTTTGGTGGTCATGTGCATGGTGGTGGCTGCGCCACAAGCCCAAGCAGCTGCTGCTGTGACATGCGGTGAAGTGGCTACTTACCTGGCTCCGTGTGGTGCCACCGTGGCTTATCCGGTTGCGTCGCAGTTTTGCTGCACTGGGGTTAAAACCCTCTTCGGCTTCGAACAAACTACTCTGCCTCAAAGACAGGACGCTTGCAAGTGCTTGAAATCAGCTACTGGTGCCATCTCCACTATGGACATTGGCTTTGTTTTCAAAGTCCTAAAATTATGCGGTGCCAAAATTCCCTCTATCAGCAAAACCACCGACTGCTCCAAGTACACATCTCTCCATTCATTTATTTTACATGTGCAATCATACAGTTGTGTAGCAAATTTAAATGTTCTATATATATTCTGGTTAGATAAATTGATGCTAATCTTATGTTTTTTTAATTAAATAATCTTTTATAACTCCCAATTATTTGGAAAAGGTTTTAATATAATGGTAAAATATTCCTTTTCCTTTGATGTATTCAACTCGTGATATTTTAGAAACAATTTTTTTTTTTTTTTTATTTAAGTACTTCACACTTTATTCATATTACAACTCCAACATTCCTTTCAAATTATACCATTAAACTAAAGACCTTTCATAATAGATTTATAAAAAAAAATACATTAAACTCCCCACAAAACCCGTCCAATTCCTGTCACATGCATCATACTCTCATAATCTTCTTAAACTGTATAAGAATAAATAACATAGTTGTGGAATTCGAAATTTGCATGGCAGCAAATAAAGAAGATCTAGGTTACATGCGTTACAGTATGCAAATATAAAATAAGTGTCCAAATTAATAAAATAGTAACATATTTCAAAAGTTTAAAGTTTTAACTTTGTGTGATTAGTTTTTTCATGTAAAGTGCAGGGGGGGAAAAAATAAAAAAATAAAAAAAAGAGTATGCTTACAGTGAGAAAACACCCTTAAAGTTTCAATTGGATGTAAATTGGTCCCTCTCGACACATTAAACTATAATTTGACTAAATTACCCTTATATACACATTTTATATATTAATAAAAAATGTATCATTTTATGAAATGACGAAAATAGTCATTTAATACATGAGGGGTGTGATACACTGTAAGCATACTATAGGGGTATAAATTGAACACCTATTTGTTGCTATGTAAATAATTTTATATCTATATTTGTGAAAATTTATTGCAAATTCTAAAGTTTAAAAAATTAAATGTATAATGTTTATATATAATGGATAAGTATCTTTAATTTGATTTTTTAATTATATATTTAATGAAAAATGTTAACTATATTAAAGTTTTAATTGGGAATTTTTTTTTTTTTTTTTTTTTTTTTTAATAATTATAGAAGGAACGAGGTTTTCATTCCATATAATATAATGTACATTAGGATTTTTTTTTTATAATAATTATAGAAGGAACAAGGCTTTCATTCCATATAATATAATGTACATTAATATGATAATTGTGAAAACAATTTTTTTATTTTTATTTTTAGAGAGATAATACCGAAATATAATACATTGTTATCGAAAATACATAGAGAATTTTTTTTCTTTCGAAAAGGTGAAAAAAACATAAAAAGTGAGCTAAATATAGTTAATGTATACATAACACCCCTATACTATGAGATTATTAGCATACACACCCGCTTGGGCATTTTCAGTAGAATAAAAGGGCAAAATAGGTATTACAACATTACTTTATGTCAGATTTTTTATTGAGGGTTGTTTTTGCACAAATTTAAAAGAATATGGGTGTTTTTTGTGTATTTTTTTAAATAGAAGATAAAAGTGTTACGCGAAATATACATTCGGAATGTTTTCTGTACTTGATCTATTTTTTCATAGGTTAGAACAAAACTTACGTGATATTATGCTATTACCTGGTTACCTGGGAATATACGTGAACTATATATCAATTGCAGGCGATTGCTCAAAGTCTTTATGTTTTAGGATAGTACTTTTAAAAGTATAGAGGGGGATGGGCTTGTTCCAAAGAAGTTACCTTGCGAAGTAATTCATCCTTTGTGATTGAAAATCGTTTAATGGGTAAAAACAAGTCATATTGCGTAACTTTTTAATTACAACACTATACTTCAGAGGTTTTTCATAAGAATCTCTTATACTCATTCCTATGGCACTACTACAGTTTAAAGTGACGTTAGGAAGGGCGTTGTGCTAAATGAGCATAAGACAAACAAACTCTTTTAAGGTATCGGTCACGTATACTTTTGGAAGACTCACCTAAGTGGAAGTCATTGTGAGGCTGCAACTATTTGAATTGGGTTGTTTTCTAATAATTCTCATGAGAATTAGGATACTAACAAGTGGTCATTAATAGTGCTATGTCGCTAACTAAATTATAAGTTTGTATAATATATTGAAATAAGATTAAAGGGGTCGAGTTTAAGACTTATAAGTGGGTGTTTAGGATTACTTCTCTACTAGTGAAAAGTACTTTTATTTTAAAAAATCTTATAAATGGTAGAGGTTAGGCATAAAAAAACGTGTTTAATTAAGTGAAGTTGGGAATCGCAGCTTTTAAAATCGCGTTATGGTAAAGGTCCATATTTTTAGGTAACTACTTTTCTTTTAGATAATTTAATTCCTTTATATTTTTTATAGATACAATTGTATCCCTTCTACAAACAAATAGCAAACAATATGGACTCTGTAACAAAGTAAAATCCTAATTTATTTTGGGACTCTAGTTGCCTTCCAATCTCAGTTTATTTTGGAACTCTGAATTATATAATTGTTAGATGTTTAATTTTTAATTTATTTTTAAAATAACTATAATACATTTATACTATTATCTTAAATAACAAGTAATACGATTATTAATTTTGGTTAAAGTGTTAAGTTTTATTTTATGAAATGTGTCTATATTGCAAAATATTATATTATTAAATTTCATTATTAGATAGCATATGAACAAATTTGTTTAATTTATTACTGGAAGATCCCAAATTAGATACAAATTAATTATCATTAAAATATGTTTTAACTCATTTATATTTTAGTGCTTAGTACAAATTCGATATCATAAACAAAATATGTGATATTTAAAAAAAAAGAAAAAAAGAAAAGAAAACAATACAAGTTGATCTTTATAAATTATTGAACTCAATAAAATTTTATCATATTTAATATTAGGGAATTAGTATATGTTTAGTGCAAGGGTAATATAGTAAAATTAATAATAAAAGTGTTTTAAGTAATATTATTACCAAACAAATTTAAAAGTGTTTCAAGTATAAAAAGTGCTTTATACAATGTGTCACCAAACGCTTAACTGCATTTTATTGACAGCATTTTTATAACAGCTCTACTATCAAAAGCATTTTAAACATTCTCACAGCAATTCCAAACTGGCTCCTCATATAAAGAAGTTAAAACTAAGTGCAAGTTCAAGTAAGAAAGACTATTGCACCTCTTACGCAGTATTCAATTTCTTTAATTAATTTTTTGGTATATATACTTAAATTTAGAAGTTTTAAAAATTTGTGGGAGATTGTTATGTTTCTATTAATTAAATAAGTTTTTAAAACACTCAAAGTTATCTCTATTTGAAAAAGGTGTGAAAATAATATACCTTTTGATTATGATAACTTTTCATTTAGACTGTCTTTTCATCACACACACACACACTATAATTGTATCTTGAAATTTTTTATAATTCAATAAAACTACACATTAAAAGGTTATAAAGGCTTTTGGATCATGCGGTACTGCGTACCACTTCATACTATTTGTACTCTAATATGATTCCATAGTGATAAAAATGAATAATTAATATTTTTGATTAAATTACATCGAAATATGATTATTTGAATAGATTTATAAATAAGAATGCCCTAATTTTCCAACAGCTAAATTAGTAATTGTGGTGACAATGTAAGTGCCTTATCATTCATTCTTCAATAGGCAAGTGGCTTATGCCTTACATGTCTGTAAAGCTTCCCTAACACTAAATTTTGATTAAATTGGTTATTATTTGTGTTACAGGATGGAAAAGTGAATTTAAATGGGAACATCTAAATAAGGATGGGCTTGTGGATCCGCATGTAGTCTGTCATCTACTAAGTGGTTTCCTGTAGTGACCATATGATATTTAATAGTATATCTCTTATAATGAATATATGCTGGCCTATATATATTTTATACTGTCTTGAATGAATCGGTAATGTGTAAATAATATTGGATTACCTAGGACTTCACCATATCTAAGTTTGGCTACAATTATGTATATTTTCATGATTCTATTAGCCAACTTTACCAGATCAATTAGCCAACTTTAATTGTTATAGGACTTCAAACTTAAAATCTATATTTTCACAATTCAATTGACCAGCTGGTCTCCACAGTGATTTACCAAATCAACTTTTTATGATGATTATGCAATAAAATCTAAAGAACCAGATCAGATCACCTTGACTTCAAATTACGCTAATCACAATTCACAAGACCCAGATGCCATGTAGGGCCGTGTACGAAGCTGTGTGTGACTTATATCTACATCATTTTTTTTACCCCGGTAGGTATACCTATAGTATATATTTCATGTACACTGAATATTGTTATTAACTGTGATCACAAGAATTTTTTTTTTTTTAAGTTCTACTCAAAGCGGAATGCAGTCAATTATATCTCTTAATTTGCAGAACTAAAGAGTTAATGTTAATTTTTTCATTTAAAATTAAATTTGAAAACAATCTTTATTGTATGTAATCGACTTAACATTCAAACTCCTTTTTTATATAAATAAAAGAATGAAAATACTAATTTCTCAATATATACATCGTATATTTTATTTTGTGTTGGTAATCTAAAAGTAAAAAACTCGTGAAAGAAAGCACTCAATTTCTACTTTCATAACTCATAATCACTCAATTTTTACTTTCATAACTCATAAGATTAATGTTAAAAAAAAAATTTCAAACGGCACCATAATTAGATTTAACTGGTAAGCATTAATCACTATGGACAGAACGGATGGTCACAAATTTCAGCATGTGCTCGTTTTGCTAAACAATTGAATTAGGTTTGTAAAATATATATTTTTTGAGCACGCTATTTCACCTGATTTAAAAAAAATTACTTAGTACCGGCTCCTTCTTAATGTCCAAGTGTTATCTTGTAATTAATGGAGCCCTTTATAGAAACAAACACGCGTCTCTCCTCTTCACCCACGCCCCCAAATCTTCTCATCCCCTCCCCTCTCTCTCTCTCTCTCTCTCTATATATATATACATATATATATTCATATGTATTCCGTCTCTAAACTCTTTCTATTTTTATCTCTTTCCAGATGAGTCATGGAGACAGTTAATCCAAGAACTCCAATACTTCAATTCTCAATTATTGTTCTTGATATCTAAAAAAAAAAAATTCCAGATGACGAAAAGAGAAACGAAATAGATATGCAAACCCAAATTTTTTTTTTTTCTTCCTCTTTTTCTTTCTTGGGGTGAAAACTATAGTTGAAGATAATAGCAAAAGACAAAAATTTCATTCCTTGCAACAAAGTTTTTTAATGGAAAAATTATTTTATAAAGAGAAGGAATTTTAAGCAAAAATATTTACATATGAGTAACTTGTAAACAGAGAAAAGATATAATAGAAGTAGAAAAGGAAATCAAGAGAAAAGGGTTATTTTGTCTAAAAAAAACGTATTGGCATTTAATATGTCATAAGAGACTTGGTATTGCGATTAGTATATTGCCACATGAAAGTCGGTTTTTATCGGTACGAAAAAATTGTCAAAAATATCATTTTTCATATTTTTTTTATTAGGTAATTTTTATGTATTTGACAAATATTTAGGTCGAGCTTAAAGTGAGTTCATTTGGTACCTCCGAGGCTTGAACTTCTAACCTCTATTTGAGAAGCAAGGATGTAGTGCTAAACGACTTGCCTGTTGCTATTGACAATAAATTCATGAGTTATTTCCATCTACATCCCCTGACTTTTGACTATATCTCACCTACATCCTCTCTTGATTTCAATATTCCACCTACACTCGTACCAAATTGCCCCCCCGCCTTTAAACATCTGATGGTGTGTGCTGATGTCACCCTGAAAAAATCAGTAGAAGGTCAATTTGACCTTTTTTAATATCTGAAATTACATATTTAACCTTATTGACCAATGTAGAATTACAAAACTACCATTCATTTATTAACTCAAAAGTATAATAATGCCCTTCACTAAAAATATATGCAGAGATTGGTAGGGTAGGTCGGTGCCGGAGTGATTCCGGTGGTGGATGATTGCCGGAAAGAAGTGGATATATATATATATATATATATATGTAATGTATATATGTGTATGTGTATGTGTTTATAAGTTCATATGGATTATAGATTGGAAAATACTTCACCTTTCCACTCCTTCTCCCACCACATCACCGCCATCATCCTCAACGCCTTCGCGGCATCACACTCCGGCTACACCACCGTCACCGCCCTCTCCGACTATGCCCACGGCTAGAGGTGATGGTTCGGGCTGTTTAGATCTGTAGAGAGAGAAATCGAATGACCTGACTCGGTTTAGCAGAGACGGGACTCGGACTAGTTGGGGTGAGTCGCGTTCAACAAACTGTTGTAGTGAGGCGGTCGGCGGTGAGGAGAACATCGGCGATCTAGAGGAAGAAGATGATTGACGTCGCATGAGACGCGTTGACTTAACATTGCGTTACAGTTGCGATGAAATATTTTGGTTCTGGAATGCTGGTGATGGTGCCGAGAGTAAAGAGGTTATGGTTGCCGACGGTGAAGCCCGTGAAGGCGGTGCCGAAATAAACCTGTTCGTGTTGCCGATGGTGAAGTCAGTGAAGGCGGTGCCGGAATTATGTTGCCGGTGGTGAAACCTGTGAAGGTGGTGCCAGAATTAACTTGTTCGTCCCCACCGACGAAGCGTTCTCGGATCTTTCGGCGACTGCCAAGTAGCCAAGTTTCAATCTGGAGTTAAACGTGAACCCGATTCAGCTGTTGCTTTAGACTAAGGCAAGGGTGCCGGCCGGAAGCTACACCCTGCACATATCAAGGTTAATAGTGGCGATCGACACCAGGATCGTTCAGGCGTTGGTGATGCAGACGGTGTTTGATCAGAACCCAGTTGTGATTTTTCAGGGTTTTGAGGGTCTTGTTGTCGAGAGATCTTTGGGAAGATCCCAGTGGTGTCGACGAAGCCTAATGAAGGCGGGACAGGTGGTGCGCCGCCGCCGGAAGTGGCTTTGTCAACGAAGCCTAGTCTGAAACTTTTCTGACGACCAATGCATCTTGTGGATTGAAAGAAGAATGTGGGTATGGATCTTAGAACCTCAGAAATAGCATCAACAGTCCATGGTTGATGGGAGGTGAGGGTGGTCGTTATCAAAGGGTCAGTTTTGGATCATAACGGCCACTACTTGGTTTACTAGGGAAGTGAGGTATTAGAGATGACCGGTATCTCTCGCGGGAGGATGATAGAAAATGCACAGTAGGTTACAGACAAATTAAAAGGATATTTTAGTCTTTTAATGTTGTATACAATTTATTTTTAAATATTAATATATAATAGATTGGCAAAACTGTAAAATAACGTAATTCCGTTGGTAAAGTAAACCGCCGTCACATACAAGGGGTGTGGGTGGAATATTGAAACCAAGAGGGGTTGTAAGTGAAATATGGTCAAAGATCAGGAGGTGGAGGTGGAATTAATCCAAAATTCATATACCGACTTTACTCTTTGAAAATTCAAACCCTCATCAACCATATAGAAATTCAAACCCTCATCAACCATTTTGAAAGATAAAAGAAATATCATTGGGCCACGAGTCCCTTGGTGTGAGAAACACCATAAAAACACAAAAATATTTTGTACTCAAATAAACTAATTAAGACCGTTCAGATCCATAAGTCACTAGTGAAATTGATTAGGTTAATTAAGTACTTAGGACCAAATTGATCATTACTACTAGATTAATCCCTTTGCAGCTAGAAATATTTATTTTGGTCCCAAACTAGTATTCACATGAATGGAGAATACACACACACACACTGACCCGAACACAGAAGAGAGAAGGCAATATATGTTGTTGGGTCATAATCTAGTTTGAGCCAACTAACTTTTCTAGGGAGACGTTTGATTAGGCCCTTTCAATTAGGAGTCATCAAGCACTAAATGGAGCTTCCTAACTTATGAGTTATGGGCAAACAACGTACTAACAATTCACACACACACGCCCATTCTCTTGAAGCCTTACTCACCACTAATCAATATAAACACTACACATGACAAGCTTTTTAGATGCACTCAAAACACATACCAAGTGCCAGGAGTGTTCGGTTATCTCTTGTTTTGCTTTAATAAGTCTTGCTTTTGAGTTTTCTCAAGTAGAGCAATTAAGGCATTACAATGTGTAGGCCAAGGATATTGCTCAAGTTGTGGTTTGTGGTGGTCATGTGTGTGGTGGTGATCACTGCACCACCCCATGCCGAAGCTGCGTTTTCATGTGCTAAGGTGACTGCCAAAGCGGCGGCATGCATAAACTACTTTCGGAAAGGTGGTAAACCGTCAGAGCTTTGCTGCGCGGCGGTCAAGTCCCTCATTGGTGAAGGTAGTGAGAGCCAGAACGTTTGCAAGTGCCTCCAATCAATGATTAAACCCCCTACAGCCCTCCAATCCACTTCCATTGCCCAGTTGGCCGGCTCTATCCCCAACCTCATTACCGCATGTAGCATCACTATTTCCAAAGAAAAAGCCACTGAATGCTTCAAAACTAAGTATCTCTACTTCTCTCTCTCTCTATATATATATATATGTTTGCGCATCCGTTAATTATTTGAATGTGTCTGCATATATGCCTTTTGATATGAAAGGAAGTTTATCATAAAAACCTGCGGTAAATATTTGGAGATGGATCCTCTTGCAGCCTTTTTATCTTTTAGTCTTAATTTGACACAAGGGAAGGGCAAGATCCAAATGAAAAGTGCTCAAAAAGATCCAAATGGAGAATGAAGTGGTATGAGATCATATGGTTCCAGCCAATCATAAGTAACCACGCAATCAAATGCGTGAATTTTATTCAATTTTTTTTATTGCATGCCAACTTGTTATTCATACGTGACACCTTTCTATCTCTCAAGGAAAAATAATAATAATAATAATAAAATTTTGTAGTATGTGTCTTATATCTTAGAATTATAAACAGTCAAAAGCTCTAACAAATTTTTTATTTTTATATTTTTGGTATTGTGTTGCAGAGAGGAGGGGTGAAGAAAACAAGCATTTCTGCAGGAGGATCGATCTATATATAAAACCTATGAATAAGGAATGGCATCGAGTCATATATGTATCGTGGGGTTCAAGTACTATATAGATGAGAATTTCTACAGTTATAATGGCAGTTTGTCATCTATATAAATGTAGTGACTATATAATATATATCTCTAAAGAATTTATGATGGTACTGGTACAGATCGACCGTCTCTCTCTCACCATGGTATCTCTAGTTAAAAAAAAAAAAAAAATACAACACAATTACTTCGAAAATGCAACTTTGAAATATAGGAATGTGTTGTACCATTATTTTACCCTCAAAATAATGGGGTTTCAATGCACTTGCAAGCATTTGTAGTTTTTACTGTTCAAGTTATTAGTACGACTTACTACGTGGGAAACTGAGCTTATTCAAATTCAGAAATAATGTGATTAATAGATATCGGTTACAAATTTTGATGTGAATTTTTTTTGTTTTGAAATATTAGTAATAAAGAGTTTGCAGATGTCAAATTTTTCATTTTGATTTACCGTTTGAAAAGCATTTGCTAATAAGTATAATTCAGATTTCGCTGCCTTACAAATTCAAGCTCTGATATATATATATATATATATATATATATATTATGTTTCTATCCACGTGAATTTTATTAAGATTTACTACCAAAGGTGTAAATGGTAAATGTTTTTTTTTTCTTTTCATAAGAGAAAGTGTATATATATATATATATATATATATTTTATGTTTCTATCCACGTGAATTTTATTAAGATTTACTACCAAAGGTGTAAATGATAAATGTTTTTTTTTTTTTCTTTTCATAAGAGAGAGTGATTGTGTAAAAAGTGAATATATGAGTAAGTTTATTCTCAAAGTAAAAATAAAATAAATAAAAAGAGAAAACTGTAAATAAATAAATAAATAAAATAAGAAAAAAAATTGAAAAAGGGCCCACAGCCTGGGCAAATCCAATACACAGCAGGATGGGCAAAACTCCAAGGAAAAGGACGGAACAACTCCCGGGCCTAGGAGAGTGCTTGATTGATGAAGGAAGAATGGAGATGCTTTATTAGGAGAAAGTATACAATACTCTAGGTGATATTTTTGCCCTATGAAAATTCTAAATTTGTGACTAAAAATAGATAATTTTCAATGAAAAGCAAGGTTAAAGTAAGGGAATCAAGAATTTGACAATGGTTATCACTAGGGTTGATAAAGTTTTTTATATCACATGATAACTTTATTAATAAATTACTAATGATATAGATGTATAAATAAAATTTCACCATACAATTTAATATATATTAGCTCACTAACTAATAATTTTAGAGAAAGTCAAAGTAATAAGCGTCAAAACTAATAATTTTAGAGAAAGTCAAAGTAATAAGCGTCAAAACGTGTATAACTTATTCAAATTTCATGGAAGGTCAGTATAATTTATTTTAATTTTTATATATTTATATAATTTAAAATTGTGGAGCCACTGTAATACCCCGATAATTTTAAAAGATTTATTAATTAGGATTAATTATTTTATTTTATTTTTCAATGATTTATTTTATTTTATTGAGTGCTAGATTAATTATCTTATTTTAATTAAGTTATATTTCGTGATTATGTATGATGATTGATTGTTTGTGTGGTTGATTATTGATTGAATTATTGGTGTGTTGATTTTATTGGTATTATATGACTTAGTTGTAAATTCTTGTTTGTTTATGTGCTTCATGTAATTAGTATTTTAATTTCTGTATTTAATTAATTATCTTATTTATTTAAATTAATTGGATTGGGCTTAAGGAAAGTTGGACCAAAAGATGTGGTCTTGGGCTTGTATGAAACCTTATTGGGTTAATTAATGAAGGTCCGTGGTTATTTAATTATTTACATGATCACTTTTGTATCAATTATATTTATATATATATATATATATATATATATAATTATATATAAATATAATTAATTAATAATTGTTATGGAAAGATATATATATAGATATATATTTATTGATATTTATAAGTATATATGATTTAATTAACTAATGAGTTAATTATGGAAGGAATATATATTTATATATATATATATGTTTATAGATATAAATTATTTAAAGATTATTATTTTAATTCATAATACTAGTTGGAATAGGATTTGGAATTTAAGGTGTATAAAAATACACTTAAGACTTTAGGGTTAAAGGTTTTATACGTTAGAAAAATAAAACAGACAGAGAGAGAGGAAGAAGAAGGGCTGACAAGGAGGAGGTCGGATCTGAAAAGGAGGACGTCGGAATTGGAAGAGATAATTAAAGCTTAAAGCGTCGGTTTCGTTTCGAAACCTTCAGGCGAGTTTTCTCTAACTTTCCTCTTAGAACTCATAAGGATTTCACCTTGAGTATCAAGGCTTTAATTAAATTTATTTGTTTAAAAATTATGGTTAGATCGGAATAATTAAAAAGTATAAACTATTATATTTGATTTTTAGATTATTGGATTTTAATTGATATATATAGGTGTTATGTATATTTTAAAATCAATCTATAGGTGGATTTGTGACCCAAGAGAGTTAATTATGGTTTCTTTATTTTCTAGAATTGTTCTGTAATTTTCTGGAATTTTTCTGATATTTTTAGGAATTTATTAGGATTTATTTTCCTATTATTTGTTAGGAAAATAATTATATATATATATATATATATATATATATATATATATATATATACTAGGTAACTGGCGCATGTGGAGCGGCGGCACAATAAAGAATTGATCCAGTGCGGCGCGGTGTAGGATAATAGGGTGTATACGCCAATTAGGGCCATTTGATTAATTAAACTTATGTGAATTGATATGGTGCATCGCGGCGCATAAAACTTTGGTGCGCATGTGTATCTGGACCATAAAAGTGGTCTAGTCAACTATGGGATTATTTGGTGTATTGCAGACCATGAGAAGATGGTGCACTCGCTGATCTGGACCTTAGATCTATTATAGTTAATAGAAAATAATCTAGTGTGAACGTGTTCATTTGCGCACTCATTTATGACCATTGGATGCGGCATAAAGGAAGTAATGGATTCAGTGTGGTGAGCTCACGGTAGCTGAAAGAGCTTAGCCAATACCAGCACACAAGGAGGCTTGAATCCAGCGCGTGCAAGTGCATAGTAAGCACGTGGGCGCGCGTGGGAAACTATGTTGGCCTAATTCGACACTAGAAATTAAAACGGTCATAACTTAGTCATTTTAAATCGAAATTGGGTCATTCTTGAGCTCAAATTCAAGGATTTTTCGTCTTCTTTCCAATGGTACCAATTTCATTATCAGATTCCCATCCTACTAGGAGATATTTATGTTTTAGTGAGAAAGTGTCGGAAAACTATTTAAACCAATATGGAGTATTTAAAGGAAACTATTTCTGACATATTTAGTTGCACTAATTTGTGTAAATATAATAAATTAATAATTTGTTATGGAAGGAAGTGTGTATATATATATATATATATATATATATAATTATTTATATATGGGTATATATAGTTTAATTTGTCTATGAGTTGTATGGAAGGATGAATATATATATATATATATGTATGTATGTATGTATGTATATTGATTTTAAATAATCAAGGATTATTAAAGAAGGTGTTAAACACATATATACATTAAATAACATATGTGTAGGTATATATATATATAAATCATTTAAGATGATTAATATTATCATTCTTATTTGGCATATCTTAATAGGCTGGTTGTTAAATTAATGATATGCGTATAATATGCATGTGATGGCTATGTATGATTTAGCGTATTGTTAATTTTAAAGTTAATTCATGGTTAAAGTGTGGGCATGGATGAATTGTCAAATGATTAAATATATTACCTAAATATTTGTATGAATAGAATACATATATGGAAAGCATGGATGAATTGCTAATTAAATGTATGAATAAATATACCTGTGGAGGCATGGTTGAATTGCCAATGTATAAATATACATACACGGAGGCATGGTTGAATTGCCAATGTATAAATAAATATACTTATGGAGGCATGGTTGAATTGCCAATATATAAATAAAAATATTTACAATGGCATGGTTGATTTGCCAAAGCATAATTACGTTGTTATGTGTTAGATGATTAAAATATCATCTATGGTTGTTGTATGTATGGATTGGATTAGGGTTAGATATTCTTAAATGAGAATAGTTTAGTACTTACTGGTTAGTGTATTATTTTACATTAATAAAATAATATTGGGGAAGACGTGGATGATTTGTCAAAACTTGGATTTTGGATATGTGATTTAAACAATTAAAATCATTATCGGGTTGGGATTAAATAGAGTATTTCTTTTATT